TTCATTTATTTAACTATTTCATCAAAAAATTTCTTTCACTGAATTATTAAAATTTTAAATTCAACTCAGCTTTTTTTAAAGATTTCAAACTCAAATTATTTATTAGATTTTATAAATTTTCAAGTAATAGTTTCCATACCTATTATTTGTAAAATTTCGTTTATATGTAAAACTTCATTTCCTTTATTTTTCATTACGCCATGCTTTCTTTTTTATTCATCAAATTTTTCGTGACACTTGTTAAATATACAATGTGGCTTGTGAATGCTTTTTGTATTACAAGTTGAATTAAATATATGACATTTAAAGGCCAGACGTGTCGAGGATAATCCCATCATAATTAAAATTCAATATTCGAAATTTTTTGATTATACTAACTGAATATATCAGTTGATTATAAAAAATTCTTCTGATGTTTCTGGTTAAATCGATAACTGGATATATCAAACAATTTTCTTATTTTTAGAGTGTCTATATAACCAGAGTTACGTTTATTTAGTGGCTGGACTCGTCAACTCGTGACTCGAATAAGAGTTTATCACGATTCGAATTAAGAAATCAATATTCGCGAGTTAATTACTAATGTAACAATTAAGTATCATAATTATTATGAAATTTATAAAATATACTTTGGAAAAAATTTTCAATGAATTTTTTAATTTATGTGACTTGAATAACTCGAATTTCTATTCAAAAAAAAAATAATAATTCGATCATATGATTCACGAGTTGTAACGAATCCAGTCTCTACCCCAACGGTTTGAAAAATTTCTTTAAAAATATTGATGAATGCTAGTCGATAGCTAAAAACTGATAAATTCTGTTTGTAATATATGATTGATTATAAAGAAAGGTTATTTATTATATTATTTTTAAAAATTGTTCTTTTAAATATAATTAGTAATATCTGAAATTCCATAAAATAGATTTTCCATAAACTATTGCAATTATAAAAATGTTCTCCAACTATCAGTATGTTAATCTACTTCAAAAAAAAAAAAAAAAAAAAAAAAAAAACGGAATGAAAAATAAAATCAAGGATAAGATTAGAAATAAATTTATGCATTACATAATAAGTAATGGGCTTTATACATCACCTATAAACATTACTTAGTTCAAAATTTAAAAACTTGATGTTGCTTATATCCAAGATTTTTCAATATGCCACCAACAAGTCCTTGTGATAAATCTCTCGCTTTATCACCGCTTATATATCGAATCATCCTAAAATTTTATTTCATCAATAATAATAAGAAAAAGCTATATAGTAATGACAAATAAGAGTATTTAAAAGTTTTACCCATCGGGTCCACAAACAAGTACAAGCACATCCTCTTGAGGTCCAGGAATATGGTCTTTAATGATCTTTTGAGATACATATCCAACACCTTGTGTCCATAATTCGTCATTAGGAGGTTGATCCAAAGTATAAAAGATTTTTAATTGATCAGGATGTTTTTGAGATAATTGATCTAATTCTTGAAGAAGAAGAATATCTTGTTTGGTAACATTTGCATAGATCATATGTATTTTTGTTTTATCTTCAGGGTTGTAGAGGATATGTTTAATTAATTGATACCTAAATGATAAAGCTTTATTGTCAATATCTTTGATAAAAAATAATCACCATGAATAAAATCGGGACAATTCTTACATTGGGGTTATCCCGGTTCCACCGCAGATCTAATCATCAAAATATGTAAAATTATTTAGTATTATACAGTAGCAGGAGTTTTCGAAAAATAAAACAACTTGTGAAACAAAATATTTCTAACCATTCCAATATGTGATTTCATGTTTGGTGTATATGGAAAGGTTAATATTGGACCTCTCACTTCCACAATATTACCTTCTTTTAAGGAATGAATATATCGTGATAAGTGTCCCTTGTTATATCTCTTGATCAAAAATTCAATGTAATTTCTTTCATTTGTTGGAGATATAGGTGTATACTCGCGAACAATTTGAATTGAATCATCTTTAATAAGAAAATAAGATGTAATTGGTAATGTTTCTTTTAATGGTTTAGGAAATTTCAGACGAAAAATACTTGTATTATGATTAACTGGTGTTATTTTATTTATTGTTAAAGGAATAAATTTATCAGGAGAAATTACATCGTACTCAATGAATTTTATATATAAGTTTATTAGTACTGTAAGAGCACTTCCACCAATTGTTGTTGCTGCGATAATTTTTCTCCAATTAAATTGTATATGATTTATTCTCCCGATGCCGATATGCATTGTAGTATCGGCTTTGAGAGGTTTATCAGATCTAGAGCATTTCAATAAAGATTCTAGCCATGTGATTAAAATTAAAAAAGGGTCCGTTATGGGATCCCCAAAATTTTATTCACAAATCAGCGAACAAAGTGAAAAATGAAAAAAATGACAGTCTAAATCTGTCTCGAGGTATTAATAAAACTGTCGAGAAGAAATTTTATTTATGTTTACCTTTAATTCCTAACACTAATTTTAATTCAAACATCCCCACTAAACGAAAATAATTTATTAGTTTTGCACTAATAACAAGTGAATGTCACAATATTAAAGCTAGAACATAATATGAGATTCTTGCTATGAAAATGATCTTCCAAGCCTATTTAGATTTTATGAATAAAATTAAAATTTATCGGCGATCCAATAATCCAATTTGAATAAATTTTTTTTTTTATTTCATAAAGCTTAGCGAACTCTATTAAAAAAGTTTATTGAATTACTAGATCGCTTGTAAATTTTAATTTTATTCATAAAATTTAAATTGTCTCGGAAGGTCATTTTCATAGCACAGATCCCATTATAAATAAAATTTAACAAGGAATTGTTTTTATATTGAATACATTGTAGAAATAAATATAACACGATCTTTTCATATTACTTATAGATGATATATTCATATTCTTATATTTTATGAGATTATACACGATAAATTTTATCAAAGATTATTTTTTTAGAGTGAAATTTCGATGATAGGCTCGGAATTACGAAGTGATAATAATCGATCCCTCGAAAGCAGCGTGACTTACATTTAGTTAGCATTTTATATTGAAAAGTACTAATATTAGTGAGTGATGGCGACACATCCTGCTCAACTGGTGTGGAGGAGAAGAGTGTCTAGTCTCATATCTATACGACGTACACATCTTACTGTGAGATTATTTACATTCTGGAGGAAAAATTGGTTAGGAATCGTACTCAAAATTTATTTATATTCTACTAAAGTAATGGAGGCATTGTAGTGGCAACTTGATATTCATCCTCCAGCCTAAACTATAACATTCGGAATTAATAAGGTTAACTTATCGGGATGCTCGCCAGGAACATAAAATTAATGCCCGCGTATGTCCAAATGATATTGACTATCAAACCACTATCTCAATCTACGCATCATCCGGTATTTTTTTTTTTTTAGCGAAGTCCAAAACATAAACCATAAACCATCGCCTCATACTAGATGTAGGATGCTAATGGTCGGTCACGGTCATTCACATTTTTCGTGACCGATCATGGCTAATACTGTTGATAATTTTCAACGACTCTAGACAATTCCAAGATACATAATAAAATGAAAATTTAAATTTCACTTACTATGATTGGCTAACGGAGGATATAACAAGTTTATATGGCTATAACGATAACAATCAGCATCAAATATTGTCCGAAGCGAAGGAGGACTATTTGTGTATAAGTAAACTAAACCGATGTCGGTCTATTGTACGTTCCATTAATAAAATTACTATATTGAGAGCTTTGTTAGTGTAAATTCGAGATTTTAATTAGTTTTCATTATATCGAGAGTTCACTATAACGGGAGTGACTTTTAATTATTAATCTTAACGTATCATAATATGGTCTAGTAATATAATTTCTAAACTGAATTCCTCTCAGCATAATTTTTATATTAATCTACCTAATTAACTCTTAAAAAAAAAACTTTAAAAAAATATAATTTTAATAATTTGAATTTTGTTATCGTTTGAATTTTATATATCTTTATTATTAAAAAAAAATGATTTAAACTATTTGCTATGCCTATTCTATGATCCTCCCGGAGATGTATACGTACCAAAATTTATTAATACTTCAAAAATGGCTTATCAATATTACTAAATTATGTATATATTGAAATAACTAGTTTTTGTACCGAAAATAGACTTTGTCAAACCAACCTAATTACAAAGAAATCAGTTTAAAGCATTTTATAATAATGCTAATTTAAACAAATTATTCAAAATACAAAAATTACTATAATTAATCGATCAAGTCTTAAAACATACTCGTATATCACAACTCTTTTCTAAACAAATAATCAATCTCTCTGATTAAACCATCAACAAATGCTTGGTCTGTGCATTTAAGTTCAATGCGAACACTTGTATTCTGTGCATTATCAGGAATTTCATTTTCTTCTGACATTCGATTTTTTTCAATGGTGAATTTTGCTAACCCTGCGACTTGATATCCTTGCACACTTCTACCATACATAGTTATAGCACCTGGAACTTGCTCAACAACATGTGTCCCGGTGGCTAATGATATTAATCGTATTACATCGTTTTGGAAAGATTGTTCAATTAAATTAGTTGAAGTATTTAGGCGTATAGATGTTGATCCAGTAAATGGAAAGTCTGCTGTTTGAGAAACACACGACGTAAACTCTTCTGGCGTTATTTTTGGAATGTCCAACATAAAAACAGCCATAGGTAACTCAAATCTTATTGGTATATCAGGATTCGTCTTGGTTTCTTGATCCGACTATATAATAAATTTGATTTATAAGTTAAAGTTACATTTAAATGAATCTTATATATATGTATTCTTACCTGTATTTCATACGTAATGTTTCCAGAAATACTTAAGCCCGCACCAACTATTCCCAAGACTTTAAACTCTATTGTCACGCTTTTTTGCTCACCATATTGCAAGTTATCCTCTATTTCTACTAATGTTTTATCAAATTGAATGTCTGTTGTTGATTCAAAAACAAATGCCAATTTAGAAAGAGAGCATTTGTATGAACAATTATTACTAATAATGAAATCTGTAATCATTGCGGGTGGTTCGTTTTTGACTTCCGTAGGAGAACTCAATCTTAACGTGTAAAGCTTTGGTAATTTGTCATTGTATTGTTAGTATGTTTCAATAAACGATATATCAGATACGATAATATAATAAAATGGACATACAACTTGAATATCATCTGAATCTACCAATGTTTTGGTTGTAACATTACTAACTTGACAGGGTTCTACGACCACATTATTATCATTGTGTTCTGATGTGGCGTTATCCGATATTAAATTCTTCTTGGATTTCTAAATAAAATCTGTTAATTTATAATCTTTTGATAATAATTCTCATGTATTAACATACTTTTTCTCTCTTTTTTCCTTTTTTCTTGCTCTCTTCAGTCTGCTCGATTCGCTTTTTCTTGGGGACCTTCTTAGATTTAGAAGATTGTTCACCGTTGTTTTCCACACTTTTTGCTTTTGATGTAGCCTCTAAAGAAACCTTTGACTTTGGCTTTTCGCCCTAAAAAAAGACAATTTTAAAATTTTTTATAATCTAATCGAAAAATTATTTTCAAACTTGGAAAATCCCATTCAGAAAGATTTTCAAACCAATATAAATGTGATCCAAAATTATAATTTCGCGTGATATACAACAAACCTTGTTTTTTTTAGTTCGAGATGATCCTTCTTGTGCCAATTTTATTCGTTTTTCTGCAAATCTCCGTCTTGCCCTTTCCTCTTCTCGCCTTCGCACCTCCTCAGGAGCAAGATAAACTGCAATCTGTGGAAATTTTTCATCTTCTCCTAATGGTGTTGACAGATCTACATTTGATACTCCGGAAAAATCTACATCTAAAATACCACCAGTTTTGCTTGGTATGGTGTTCCAAAGAGGTTTATTATATCCAGTCTTTTTAACCTCTTTTTCTTCGTCAGATAGAGTAGCATTCTCTGGCATCTCGCCAATATCAGTATAAATAACCGGTAAGACAGGCGGTGGTGACTGTCGATTTTCTTTTTTCTTTGATACCTTAGATTTTTTAGATGGTTTTTTATCGGCTGGGGAAAAAAAAAAATCGATTATTTTTTTTGTCTTATGATATTAAGAAATGTGAATGCAGCTATTGTGATAACTACTTTTAAAGATAAATTCATCCATTGTTAAGCGAATCGAGCAGACTGAAGAGAGCAAGAAAAAAGGAAAAAAGAGAGAAAAAGTATGTTAATACA